TCATCTACGAAATTCAAACCATCCGGTCATTTCATATATAGTAAAAATATCCAGTACTTTATCTCCTTCTTTACCCAGATATGAGATTGCCATCAACCTCAGAGGGTATTCAGGTCTAATTGGTATTCTTATTGACGTCTATTAAAAAATTTAAATCAAACTCTAGATGGGTCAAAAGGACAGCTATCCAATCAAATTCGTCAAAATATATCAGCCAAATGCCTCACCAGAAACAAAATCAAGTACAGAAACCAACAAATGGATCATTCTACAATGTATAAAAGGCACATCATGAACTACAACGAGATTGTTTAAGCCTTTCAAAGTAGGTGTAACACACCAATAAACAAAACCACTGCAACCAATCCTATGCAAACCAAGGGATGAAATGGCAAAAGAAGGAAAACTGAACATCATCTACAAAATAAATTGTTCCAACTGCGTTGAACACTTCATCGGACAAAGTGAACACCCTCTTCATCTTCGCCTACATGAACATTAACTAGCGGTCAAACGCTATGACATATGCTCACTTACATCAATGAATGTGGACAACTGTGGACACATATTCGACTGGAAAATTGATGAGATCTTGAATAGTGGCAATTCTAAATACACCAGAGAATTTTTAGAAGCTTGGAACTCATGTCAATCAGCAATCAACAAACACATTGAGATCGATCCAATTTATCAATCAATCAAAAAAATTATGGACAAATATAGGACCAAGAATCAAACTAATTGGAGATACAACCAAAATAAAGAAGTAAACAATGACACGTTAATGGTCAACAAGAACCAATCAACATTGAGGTCTATAGGACAAGCTGTGAGCCATATGTGATGGAATAAGAACATTCCACTTCTACTTGAAGTTTCTGCTGATGATATTGTTCAGAATGACGATGAAAGCTACACGAGCGAACCATCCAACTCAAAGAATAAAACCCCCATCTTAAAAGATCACAAAACATTAAAATTAGTTTTTCAATAATTAAGGACATAGACACTAACATTCTAACTGTAAAAAAATATAAAGAATTAAGTCATTTACAATATTGTAATTCAATTCATTGAAAAAGTTTAGGTTGACAAAACAGAAATGATTATGCTATGGCTAAAGGTATGACAGGTTTATTATTATTATTAATAGTCATTAGAAATGGATAATTAATTTTCTAATAAATAATCAAGTTATTTCAATGGTTGAGAACATCAGTCAATTGAAGCTAGACAAACATAGAAAATCTGGAAGCACTGAATGTGAACGCGTACTGCTGAAGAGTCCCACAAAATACAACGAAATGGCTATCTAGTGTTTCCATGTTTTTCATGGTGGTTTAGCTTCAATTGACCCATAATCTCAGCCATTGAAATAATGAAATGACCAGTAAGTTTGATGTAATTATAAAATAAAATATCTGAATTAAAATAAATAAGAGTTTTGTCAGTTTACTACTTTAATATTAGACTGTATTTATCTTTCTCAGCATTTATTATTGATCATGTAGTGAAATATTTATAAGTAGTATGTATCATCAATAAATAGTGAAATACCTGACGGCAGAAATTTAAGAAAATCGAAGAGAAGAGAACAAGAACAAAGAATGTTTGGTATGAGAATGAAGGAATGATGAAGTCTAAGACGATTGATTGACATTTTGTAAATGTGGTATTTACTGCATGGTCCTAAGATTTTACTAAGATACTTTATAATTATGTATATGAGTATTTTCAACTGTCCTAACTTGTGTTAGTTATTCATTCTTTGAAGAAGTGACATATACTTGGTGACGAAAGTTTAGAAAACCTAAAAAATCGATTTTTCAACTTATTGACAAATATAGGACCAAGAATTAAATACATAACTCATGATCTCAATCATTTAAATTACCATAATATCCACAATATCCCTTCTGATAATGATCAATATATGCTCACTAGTGAATGGCTTCATGAGGTATTTACTGGAGTTCTAGTGAGAATCAGTGACCAACTGAGTGCAACCGAGTCTGTTGCGAGTCAGTAACTCACTAAAGACATTGATGGATGTGTCACTCAATTTCGTGAATCAGTTGAATTTAGACATTAACAGTGTTGGATGCCGACCGGCTCAGTGGTCTAGAGGTTAAGGAGACCGACGTATCCTGTGTTTGAATCTGGCGAGGCGGGATCACGGATGCGCATAGCTGAGGAGTTCTGCAATAGGACGAAACGGCCGTCCATTACTTTCAAGTTTTCCATGATGGTCTAGCTTCAACTGGCTCATGATCTCAACCATTAAAATTACTATCCACAAATTCCCTTCTGATATTATTGAGATATTACAAATATATTATGTTTATCCATCACAATCGAATTGTTTTTGTATTAATTATTATTCATTATCATTCCCATTAAAATATTAAGAAATATCTAGTTCAGTAAAGGGATCTCTGTTCAAGGAATTCATTATCAAACTATACAACCGTATATATCATATCAGCGTATGATAGGATTATAAATTTAACGAGTAGAGAGTGGGTGTACAACTCTAGCTTTTTATCCTTATAGGAATATATTAGAGTTTCAGAACTTTTCTACTGGTAGTTTACTGACTTTGTATCTGTTTGATGTTCATTTGTGATCCCAGTCCAAAAACATGACTGATAATGTTTATATGTTCCCAGATTAGTATCTACTTGATATGATTTCTTAGTAAATATTATGAATAATTCAGTATGTGAATTCTGTTCTGATTAGGTGTTCTTTCCATAATGAGAAGTTCTCATTTATGAATAAGGTACTTGTCATCATCGAGGAAATCCTATAGCTGATAGCCTACTATTCATGTGCTTGACCACTCACTGTTGACTGATATCTGTTCATTAAAATAAATCCACAAACAAACGTTAATATGGAGTACATTTTGTTATGAAATTATCATAAACTGGGTGAAATAGCAGTTTGGTTTGTTCCAGTTTGTTATTCTTTAATAGCATATATTACCAACCCTAAGCACTGGAATAAATCGGGATTATTCAAGTCTTGAGGTAAACCCAACTTCAGAGATCACGCAATATTATACTGGTATCGGCATTTCTCACTTATCCTACATAGTTAACTAATGACCGCCAAGCCATTTCACTTGAACATTGTGAATTCTTCTACAAATCAATTTCTAGCGTACAACTCTATATTATTTGGATGAACAGTTTGTAGAACTAATCCATTGTATGGTAATGCTTAATATCAAGAACTAACTTCATCTAGACATTTATAGGGAATCAGAAAGAATTAAGAAAATCTTTTGCTATTCAAGCATGGTACTTTATAGTATTACTTAACCGTGACTCTAGACGACTATGTGGTCAGTCATTAGATCTACAATTCATTTGCAATATATTGCCCAGTTCAACGTTGTGAAGATTATTTCATGAAAATTTATTTAGCAGGTTCCATATTGAGAAGAAACTGCTTTTCAGTCCTTTTTGTTTCCAGTGGTACACCAATGGATCTCCAATTGTGATGAATATCACATACAAATATTAAGCATGTTAAATATACTGTTTATAATTATTTAAGTTCGTCATATGAAATCACTCAATTCATTGATTAGAGCCATTACCCTTTCACTTTGAGTTTCTCCATAGTAGTTTAGATTTTCTTATGGGATTGAGCGAGTTTATTATCAAAAAATGATTCCATTAAGATCGTTAGTCATAAATCCAGTGTAGCAGCAGCAGTAGGTCTCAACATACACAAAGAAGAAAGTAAGATTCTCTGATACAACTCAGCATGCACTAATCGAAGGCGCGAATCGGAGAAGTAAGAGCAGCATATTAACAACTGAAGAACATCTGGAACTCAAAACAACTGTCCGCAAGTCAACACCAAAATCAGAATTTTCAGCACAAATGTCAAAACAGTTCTACTGTATGAGGCGGAAACTTGGAGAACTACGAAAGCCGTCATCCAGAAGATACAAGTGTTCATCAACAGTTGTCTAAACAAAATACTTCAGATCCGTTGGCCAGACACTACTAACAACAACCAACTGTGGTAGAGAACAAACCAGGTTCCAGCGGTGGAATAAATGAGGAAGAAGTGCTGTAAGTGGATAGGACATAAATTGAGGAAAGCACCCAACTGCATCACAAGGCAAGTTCCAATCACATATAATCCTCAAGGCCAAATAAAGGAGAAGAGGAAGACCAACGAATAACACATTACTTCGAAAAACGGAGACAGATATGAGAAGAACGAACAAGAATTGGACAGAACTATAAGGAAAGATGGAGCACAGAGTTTGTTGGAGAATGGTAGTTGGTGGCCTATGTTCCATTAGGGGTAACATGAGTAAGTAAGTTATGAATCCAACTAAACAAATGACTAGTCGTATTATGCTTGAACAGCTACCATATTTTATTCCTGACATACAAATAAAAATCATGTACGAACTTACTAAAATCAAATGAGAATAATAGAATTTTCAAGAACGTTCACAATGATAGAAATAGAAATAGCACAAATGATCTGTTTCATTCCTAAAGCATTTTTGAAGCTAATGTAGTGTGAGCTACTAATATCCATATAAGTAGTTTATAACGATCGTCAGGAATAGAATTTATTTCAATAGATCGTGAGCTCAAGAACGGGAACAGAAAGCAATTAGTATGAAAATGCAGGAACAATGAAATCCGAGACGATGAACTGATATTTCCAAAAGGAACAGTCAAATTTGAGACAACTGATTGATATTTTGCAAATTACCTACTTACTGTGTGGTTCTCAGATGTTCTGTAATTTCGTGGTCACAGACAGCTGATTCTTCAGCTATTCTATGAAACGACTAAAGTTTTAATGTAAACAAATTTCATTGTATGGAAGTTACATGTTAAAGGAGTTCGTAACGGAAACTGTATCTTTGTTTTATCAATATATGACAATGACTATACCGATTTTAGTTAAAACTATGTGTTGATTGCATAATTTTTTTTAAATATTTTTTTCATACCTAGTACTTACAGATTTATACTGTCGTATAGATTCAGATTGTTCTTATATTCATGGCAGTATATGTCATCCAGGAGTTGGTGCATGCGTTTGTCCTAGTGGTTATGAATTTGTATTTCAACATTTTTCCTGTTGTAAGTTTTAATTATGAATTTGATATAAAAAAGAATGTTTTTAACGAATTGATAACCTACTTATTTCAACTTATAAACATTGGTATAAGGAGGCACCAAATAGATATGCGTCACATAAATCATTCGACTTGTCTGAGGGCTGAGATACTGCCCGAGTGCCCAAACCGAATCAGATGGTTTTCTTAGGGGGTCACATCTGTAGCCTTTGACCTAAAGGTCTAATCCACAAGGCAGTGGAGCAACATCAAGAGATGCAGTTCCATGGTAGCCGATGACCAACGATTGGATCGTACTCCATTTGTTCCCTCAGGATCCTGGAGATCATGTACACCATTGGTTTTGAATCAGGGTTTTCCAACTCCCCTTGGTCGACCCTCCATATCCACCAACCCGGTGAAAGCGCCAGATATTCGCTTTTTACCTCTCAATCTCGTAAACAACACCGAGAAGGCAGTGAGTAGGACTTTCCTGGTAGTGGTTGTATGCACGGGGCCATGTGAAAGTATTTCGAGAGGGAGGGCTGACTTTCCCCACTCTCGGCCGTACCAGGGCATTTAGGGGTGAGCTAACCCAACTTTAATAGTAAATGATTGATATGTCGTCTTTTTGGATTAGATCATTATCGAATTACTGATCTTTAATGTGATTAATGATGAATGAATAAACGTACATCAATAAAGTTGTGTACAGTAATAATCTGAGCTAATTTCAATCTTATTCAGTAACGTCTGTTATTTATAACGATATTCATAATTATCCGGTCGAAAAAATGAAATGTGTCTATTTGAGAATATAGACAGTCATATTATTATCAGCTTAGTAAAGTCTCAACTTCTAATTTCATAAGTTTTGCCTTTCCTTTGTGGATTCAGATTGAGAGCTCTGTATATGTATATATGTATGTGGAAGGTAAATAACGATAGAAAAATCTTTAATAAAAATGCACTTGTTATTGTTTGTTTGAACCTTCCCATAGATGTTTAAGGACTGTAATTGATCAGTCTCTTATTGGCCTATATACATACTGTGTGTAATGCCTCGATATAGCCATAATTCACAAGCATTATATGCAAAAATGGATACGAACTGTATGCATATATGCTAATATGAGACTGATCAATTGCAGCCCTAATACAGCAATGGGTAGATTCAAGTAAACAATGCCAAGTGAATTTAATCTTCACCCCATTGCACAAGCAAGTGGCTATGAGGACTCAGTAGCTTAGTGGGTAACACGATGGCGTTTGAAGCGAATGGTACTGAGTTTGAGTCCCAGAGTAAACATCAACTCTGAGATGCAGTAGATCCAACTGTCGAGTCACCAATAGGATGAAACGCGCGTCCTGGATTCAAACTACAAAATTACTTTTTATTTATTGTGACTTCCGATTGCTTCGAAATGTATATGGTGATATAAACCAGGCATTGCTCTCTAGTTTTCCATTGGTTAATGAAATATTAGATTCTTAGGGTAACAATCATATGTTATAGACCGGTATATTAATTGTTCAAACAGCGAGACTATAATTTATGGACGAACTAATCAGGTATAAGATAACAGGTCTCGGATTTTCGGCGCGAAATTCAACCATAGAGTTTTAGCATGATAGCTTATGTCAGTTCGTGATGAAAACCCGGAATGTAATTCCTAACCTTAATCATAAACTGTAAATTATAATTCTAATTCCTCATACTGATTTATAACCCTCATTTGGTCCTGGTTATTAAGTGGACACTCTCAAGATCACTTAAGCGTCGCTCTAATGTCATCCATAAATTATAGTCTCACCGTGCAAACCCGTTCCGATTATCATAGTAAATTAGTTCGGCCATATCGGAGGATGAATAATTCTTCCGGCACAAGCTTATTATAAGATATTCATCTATGTTACATTTTATTTTATCCGTAAAGTACTCACTTTTGTTTGAAAGGAACATTGAACTCATTTTCTCTATTCCAACGCTTGAGATCATGAGTTAGTTGAAGCTAGACCACCATGTAAAACCTGAAAGCACTGGACGACCGTTCTATTCTATTATGGGACTCTTCAGTAGTGCACATCCCCGATCCCGCCTCGCTAGATTCGAACCCAGAACCTATCAGTCTCATGCGCAAGCCCTTAACCTGTTGACCACTGAGCCTACATCCAACAGTGTTAATGTCTAACTTCATTTTCTCTATTCATTTGATTTTATTCTGTACATTAGTTAGATAAACTGATTTACTTTTAACTCCTACAGTTCATCGATTCACATATAGCTCATCTCCCGTTCATATGCATGTTTGAAATATTCGTTACCGAGACACTTTAATATTTGACTTTTATTTACCACTGCTATTATTGATATCAGTTCTTTCATCAATATGAAGCCAATTTAGAGGCCAAAGAACAGCTGAAAACCATAATATATAGAACAGCTTCTTACTGTGGGATAGAGCACAATCTTTTATATCTTTAGCTTTAATCAATTCATAATATTGAGCAACTATTTTTCATTACCATTCATGGGAAGATGAATGAACATTCTCTAAAATTAATTGAATTTAGACATGGTTTTCAATGGTTACCTAACTAAAGTGAATTCCTTATATAAATTATGTCATTCTAACTATCTTGTATGGATAATGTATTACTATTCATATTTCTCCAGTACCTCGTGTAAATGACAGTTCGAATCCGTTTTGCACAGCTTGTCAAAGAATTGATGGAGTATGTGTGCTAAATAATAGAAAAAATGGTTTATTATTGAATAATTATTACCAAGAGTAAGTCAATTTTAAATATTCACTTCAATATAACTAATATCAGAAGAGGTTTTTGTGGATATTATAGTAATTTAAATAGTTAAGATCATGAGTCAATTGAAGCTAAACCACCATAGAAAACATGGAAGTACTGGACGGCCGTTTCGTCCTACTGTAGGACTCCTCAGCAGTACTCAACCACTATTCCGCCTCGCGAGATTCGAAACCAGAACCTATCAGTCACGCGCGCGAGCCCTTAACCATTAGTCCACTGAGCCGGCATCTCGCGTAGTGAGATCGTGGATGCACACTGCTGAGGAGTAGGACGAAACAGACTTCCAGTGCTTCCAGGTTTTCCATGGTGGTCTAGCTTCAAATCACTCATGATCTCAACTATTAAAATCAATATAATTAGTTTCGAAATAGTTATACATGCAGTTGAATAATACTAGTGAATTATAGTCAAGTGTAAACTATTTAATGAGGTTGATAAATATTTAGTGTAGTTATAATCATGTGAGGTAACCATTTCACTCAGGATAGATACAAAATTATACAGATAACTTAAAAGTTACCATTCCTAATCGTAATGGTTCAAAAATTATACAAGAAGTATCACATGGTTTAAAAATAAAGACAACTCTTACAATTATGTGTCAACAATCCCATCATAACCCTAGGTTAAATAAACATTCCCTATTAATCATCTTAAACAAAGTGCACGGCAACTAATACTTCCTTACTTACGCCTGTTACTCCTCGTGGACGAGCATAGACCACTTAATCGGTTTGACGTTCTTTTTAGCAAGATTTTTTTCTACGGGATGGGGTTGCCGACCCCATGAGACCTGTAGTAACTCTAGAAGAGCTACAAACGGAGTTATGGAAACTAATAGGCACACTGCAATTTGATGACTTTGATCAGTATTAAACATTACATGATATAAACTGCATTCATTTTTGTTTTTTATTCGGTGCAGCTATTTCAGTGCTATTATGCGCTCATTAACAGCTTAAATAGCTAAGTCATAATATATCTGACACTTAAATTCGGTGATAATGATCAAATCCCATTGGAAAAAAATACATCTTTTCCTCTGATGAATCTATATATGTATTTCTTGTGTGTGAAATTTAACATTGAACCGAGATCAAGTGGTTGATTATGGCATGAACCCATTATAAGCATTTAAAATGAAGCCTTAGATACTGACATCCTAATTGCATTCTAATCTCCAGAGGCCTCAAACTACTGAATCCAGAATTGAAAACAATGAGCAGAAAATTCGGAAGAAGCACTATTTTATAGTTTGAGGATCGTAAAGCCCAAGAAGATATAACTTTGCTATGCTTTCTAAAGATATAAATATATTTAATTATAGGAAGTATCTAACATCTGTAAATTCGAAACTCTTTGAAAACATGTTAAATAACACTTGGCGTTGTTTACTTGTATCTCCCCATTGTTCTTTAGGACTGCAATTGATCAGTCTCTTATTGGCATATGTGCATCGTGTGCGGACTGCCTTGATATTGCCTTAATCCACAAGCATTCTAAGCAAAGATGGATGGTGACTAATATTGGAATGCAGGATGCAAGTTTCTTCCTATTTTGGACTCGTCATCTGGAAATACCTACATCTCACAGTTGGTGATTACTCTGGGACTCGAATCCAGCTGAGAAGTCTCAAACAGGACGAAACGCGCGTCCTGGATTCCACTACTAACCACTATCCATGTTACATAACCTTGTAAAAGTCTAAAATATTCTACTTAAACCATCTTTACTATGACTTCAATGGTAACTGTCAAAGATATTGATACATTATAAATAAGAAACTGTTCTGTTGCTACAATGAAAACCTAATCAATAAAGTCATTGTTCAAGACTCGGAACAATTTCAGGTTTGACTATTATCAAATCGACAAACCGTCTCAACTTTCCAGGTTAGTATTGAGGTTGTTAAGTAAGATAGTTAGACTTAAGATTCCTTGATAAACTTTTCTAGATCTTTCAGTGATATTGAAGGTTATAGTTCCTTGTTGTTGATAATCAGGATTAAACTTATTGTATTTTAAGTGAATATCATTTCTTTACTTATTTTATTCGTAAATGGTTAGTAGTAAGTTTACAAGGAGAAATAAACTTCTAATACTTATATAAGTCTGATACTAACAAGGATCCTAGTTTACTGATTGATTTACATCTACATTACCTAACCATATAAATAATTAGTCGATTTGAGGGTTTTAATGATCGTAAGAACATATCGGTCAAGGTAGCTTTGATTACGAGACTTTCATCCTCTTCCTCAACAACATTATCAGTTTAATTACTTACGCCTGCTACTCCAAATGGAGCATAGGCCGGTGACTAGCATTCTTCAACCCACTCTGTCCTGAGTCTTTCTGGTTCGATCCAGTTGTCGTTCATTCTTCTTATGTCTGTCTCCATTTCTCGAGGTAATGTGTTATTCGTTGGCCTTTCTCTTCTCCTATATTTGGCTTTGAGAATCTCAAGTAAGGACTTACCTTGTGATGCAGTTGGGCGCTTTCCACTTCCAGCATTTCTTCCTCATTTCTTCGTCCGCTAGAATCTGGTTTGTTCTCTCCCACATTAGATTGTTACTGATAGTATCTGGTCAACGGATCCGAAATATTTCGTCTAGACAACTGTTGATAAACACCAACATCTAAGAGTTAATAGATTTTACTAGTAAATTTTTAAATGTTTCTAATGTAAGTTAACTTTCGATTTAATTTATTAACTTTACAAAACTTATTAAGTACTTGACTTTAACCCGTTCTGTTTTTGAATAACATTCACTGGAACTATTGACTTATTCAAAACTATAGTGTAGAAGTTTAATGGAAACTTATGTTGTATTGAATGCGATTCAATTACTTTAGTTTCTAACTGTCTATTTCACTTCATATAAAGAGATATTGATTTAAAGTATCAATATGATTGATTATTTATAATCAATAATTATCCTTAAAAATGATCATATTGTTCTTTCATATTAGTGATCTTCAGTGTGCATGTCCTAGAAAACCAAACATTACTGTTATCAAGAAATACTCATTTCTTGATATATGCAATCCAATCCCTGGTAAGTGTAATACATGCATATATATATATATAGACAAACTGTTAAATTCCATTCACAGTGATATTACACAAATGCCCTGGTATGGCCGAGAGTGAGGTGGGCCCTCCCTCTCTCTCGAAACGCTCTCACGCGGCCACGAGTATACAGCTTCTGCCAGGGAAGTCCTACTCACTACATTCTGGTGGCGGGTGTGTTGTTTACGAAAATGAGAGGATCCAAACCAATGGTGCACATAATCTCCAGTATCCTGCGGGAACAAATGGCGTATGAACCAATCGTTGGTCACGGGCTACCATGGGACTGCATCTCCTCATGATGCTCCACTGCCTTGTGGATCAAACCTTTAGGTCAAAGGCTCGGGGGGTGGCCCCCTAAGATAACCACCTGATTCGGCCTGGGCACCCGGGCAGTCTCACAGCCCACACACACACACAAATATGGTGTGGCGCATACATATTTGGTGCCCCCTTGTACCAATATTTATGTGTTCAAATAAATAAATAAAACACAAATTACATTCATGTTATAAATAATTGGGTAATATGTTACCAAAACGATTTACACCCCCCCATCCCTAGATCATGGTTTACCAACAAGACATCAACAAATAGAATAAATGGATGATTTAACTTGGACTTTTGTCAAGTAGTCAATATATATTGACGTGAACGTATCTCTACTGTATTTACTAATTCCTGAAACACCACAATAGTGTTAGTATATGAGACAGACAAGGTAATCTCAACGATTGAGCCTTAGACCATCAAGTATCTTGATGAATATTCTAGCTTCAGTTCAGTTTACGATAGTTGATGACTGATATCCAATGGTCAGCGCTTAAATTTAAATTTATGATCGGTAAAGTAGAATATGTCAGAAGTAAAAAAAATTATACTCTATAGTTATAATAAAAGATGGATAGTGGTTAGCAGTGTAATTCAACGTGAGACTGATCAATTGCAGTCCTAAATAACAATGCGAAGATACAAGTAAACAATATCAAGTTGACTCTATAGTTATAATTGTAAAATATTCCAATTTGGTTAAAGTTTTAAACTTGAATTACTGGTGCCCAATTCAATGATCCGATAATATGGTATTCATCATGATGCTTGAAAAATTCGTGATTACGTAACCAATAAATTCAGTTAATATGGATATTGGCTAGCAGTGGAATCCAGGACGTGCTTTTCGTCCTATTTTGGTCTCCTCACCAGCGTACATCCATGCTCCCGCCTAGCCAGGTCCGAACCCGGGACCTATAAGTCTCACATACGAGCGCTTAACCTTGAGACCATTGAGCTGGCCGGCATCCAACAGTGTTAATGTCTAACTTCAACTAATCCACGAAATTGATTTTTCTGTAAACCAATTGAAAATCCTAACCCCAATTATTTGTGTTTCGTCACTACAATCAAGTAAAGTGGTCTCCTGAAACTGTTTCGTTTCTCATTGCTACATTAAAAGTACAATTTCTTCAAAATTAGAAAGTAATTAGAACAATATGAAGTAACCTAGAAACCGCATTTTGAAGCCTGATCAACTCATCTTTATATTTAGTCTTATCCTATTAGTCAGCAACCAAGTAAATTAGTGTACTCACGACCTAAACGTTTTACATATGACCTAATTTAACCTTATAAATCGTGTAACCAAATTACCACTTTACATACATTCAGATAAATTTGAAGTAAGCAGAAGAGATTGTCAGTATAGAGTTGTGAAAGTTATTAAGTTTTTTCATTGAGATCATGAACCGATTAATGTTTGAGAACCATGGAAAACCTGGAAGCACTGAAACGGCCGTTTTTTCCTATTGTGGGCCTCGTCAGCAGTGGGCATCTACGGTCCCGCTGTGTGTTTGAACCCAGAGCCTTCAGTCCTGCGTGCGAACGCCTAACCTCTAGACCACTGAGCCGGTATTCAACGGTATTAATGTTTAATTTCAAACAATGCACGAAATCGCGCGACCATCTTTGATTATGCTGAGGTATATACTTATCTCTACCCGACACGGATTAGCTCCACTGGTCATATCATTATATGTATTGAATGAAACGGATAAAAGATTGAAAACTGATCCAACTATCTTTTTTGGTTGTAGTTGATATTGGAGAAGAATGTAATCATATTAATAAAGTATGCCTTAGTCAAAAAGCAATTTGTCTTGAAAATTCAATCAACATACGTCAAACACAATCGACAACAAATCGTAATGTAAATATTTGTGTTTGTCATGAAGGTATGATTCCAGTATATCAGAAGAATTTAGACTATTTTGAATGTTGTAAGTTAATTATTGTATAATTTGAATTAAACTTCTTTTGTTTTCAACTGAGATTTATAAACTTCTCAGTGGATATTTTGTGGTCTTATATCTGACTCCAATTCGATTGTATGATATTGTCGACGGGTTCGGCACTTTGATGGGACCGTTCATTTTGATGTCAATTAGATCGGACGATGTTAATAGTGGGCTTACCAATTTTTTGTGACTTCAGTTGGATAATATGAATGTTTGTTGTCAAACTATACATACATCCTCGCTATCCTCGTATATTATTATCGACTTAACTTATATTGGTGAATAACGGAATTAAAATAAGTCAAATACGAGAATGGAGGTTTTGAAAACGTATATTTTGTACACATTGATCTAGACAGACGATTAAAGGGACGAAAAGAAGAGAGAGGAGCGAAATGACGCCTAATGGGGAAGGCGTGTGAACTGATTCCATTTAATCAAGCATTAAACAATATTTATAACCAGATAGAAATAGGTTACAGACATATGATGAATAGGATAAGAAGTGTACATAATTAAGCTTACATAAAACAGTCAAGGTTGATAAGCGAATAATTAACAAGGTCAAAACCGGACTCAAGAAGAATGGATAAATTAGCCTGTCCAGAAGCTAGAATAAGTCATATGAGTTTAACATAGTAACCGATACACTTCAAAGTAATCTGCAATAATAAACAACTTTCGAACCATTTGTGTATTAAAGATGAAAGATTCTTATAAAACGACTGGTTTGTAATGTGGTCTCGCATTACACACTAACAACTTTTATAACCTAGAGAGTACAATACTATTGGTATGAAAATCATAAATTGTTGAATTTTAGAGTTTGCATAGCTAACTTATTTCAGTTAGACAACGACTGAAAACCAAAAATGACTTGGATGGATGTTTCGTTCTAGTATGGGATGACTTAGTAGTGCAAATCCAAGAATCCACAAGTGATCAGACACAGAACTTACAACTCCCATAAAGAGCTGCCAACCTTCAGAACTTTAAGTGGGAATCAAGAGATTCACGTTTCTAATACCAATCCATTCACAATATTGCACGACCACCATCCTCTAAAGATATTATCTGACTCCTGGTATTGTTAAAGTTCATTGGTTGTGGATTCTAACGTCAGTTCCTGGAATCACCCGTCGTAGTTAGTTACGAATGAGCGCACGATTATTGTTACTACAAGAATTTGTGAAGATTTAGGAAGTTCATGGTTCGTTTCATGGATTGATCTTAATTAGACAACGGGTAGTCAAAATATCAAACACTCACCGTATGATCTGAAAGACTTGGGTTCTATCGTTGATGGGATCATGGATTCTTACCATTGAAAAGTCTCATGCTGGGAGGAAACATTTGTCCAGTACTCATTGATTTTTAATAGCTTTTAACGAAGATTAGCACTTAATGAAAATTATGCAACAATTTCATCCCAGAGACTGGAATTATAATTACTAGATATCATAGATTAACTCAGCTCATAAAAAGCTTGACTGCTAACGATCTAACACTGCTTTATTGAACTACTTACTTATTAAATGCAATTTAGTCAGTCAATATGACCTCAACTGTTATATTTAACGGATTTATGTTGTGGTGGATTTGCTTCGTTAAAAAATCACCTTTGTAACCGTTATTATATATAAGCCTCGACGGTGTTTGAAATGAGAAGGCAAAGAGAAGCGGCAACTACAGTTTACTAGGGGATAGCGCAGATCACAAAGCTATGAGCACATAGAGCGAATTTGAAGCGGAGTTGGCTCACATGCCTTCTCCACTGTGCGTTATTTCTCTTCGCTTCTTCCCTCTGATTGAATGTCCAGATCAATGTATACTAAACATACGTATTCAAAATTTTGTTCTCGTTCCGTTAATCACCAACTCAAGTTAAGTCGATTATAATATACGAGAATAGCCAGGATACATATCGATAGCAGTCATCTAATAGCGATCAACATATGATCTAATTCGATTCGGATCACGGGCCATTAACATGTAAGCTAACTAATCAAATGATACTTGTGAACTATTAACTAGTGGTTAAGCGCTCGCGTACGAGACTGATATATCCTGTGTTTGAATCTGGCGAGGCGGGATCATGGATGTCCATTGCTAAGGAGTCCCACAATAGGACGTAATGGCCATTCAGTGCTTCGAGGTTTTCTATGGCTGTCTGACTTCAACTGACTCATGATGTCAACCATTTGAATTATTCACCATTTGACGAACATGGAACAATTCATTCCGATTAATTCAGAATTTTATATTTCAGCTCTTAATGTTGACAATCATATAAACCTAGTTGGTCTTAAATAATCCAACAGTATGCTCATTTACAATACACTTTCAAACTTTCTACACTTGTTAACTAAAACTAGAATCTATAAAAAATTGATAATACAGAGGAACTTCCAATGGTTACCATTGAGAAACCTTATAGTTGAGGTTAGCATTTTTCAATCCATTTCAAATGTCATTGTGAAAGCAATAGAAACAACTAATGACCATGTTAATGCCTAACTTTAATCAATCAACCATATTGCTACACCGTCCACGATTATCTTCATTCAGTAACTGTCTCACAACAGACACGGTTCAACTTCACTAGTTATGACTTCTCACTACAACTCCATCAAATCCATCTTCAACCTAGTCACTAGTCAGCACATCATAGTTATCAGTATAGGGTTGTGCACATTGTTGATTTTACATTAATATCATGAATGGTGGATGAATGTTAGATGACAATTGCAAAGCTAGAAATAGTGGATAACCGTTTCGTTCTAGTATGGGACTGGTGAGTTGTGAGCATCCACGATCCCTCACGTGGGACCCGGACCCACAACATTGAGACTCACGTGAGAACGCTTAACCTGTACACCAATCAGTCCACATCCAACCATGTTAATGCCTAACTTTAATCAATCAACCATATTGCTACACCGTCCACGATTATCTTCAGTCATTAACTGTCTCACAACAGACATGGTTCAACTCTACTAGTCTTCCACTGGGCTTCTCATTAGAACTCCAAGAAATATCAGTCACTAGTGAGCACATAATTATTATTATTATTATGATCAGAAAGGGTTATTTTGTGGAGATTGTAGTAATTTAACAGTTGATTAAAGCTCGATCGCCATGGAAAACTCAGAAGCACTGAAGCTTAAGCGTTCACTTACGAGACTGTAGATGTTGAGTTCGAACCTAGTCAGTGATATCATGGATACACACTTTTGAAGAGTTCCATACTACAACGAAACAACCATCCAATGCTTTTAGATTTTCCATAGTAGTCTAGCTTATATCGACTTATGAATTCAACTCTTCAAATCCCAACATTCTCCACAAATCACCCCCCCACCCTCTTTTCTAATAAAAAAGTGATGTAACTGAAATCCAATTCTATTCATTGTACAATAATTATCTAACATCTTAGTTCTTTTTTTTTCTATTCTTTCCTATCTCTTCATATTAATTAAATGATTATCCCTTAGTTATTGTTATTTATTATAAACAATCCATATAAACTGATATGTTACCACTTAATTATTATTATTATTTCTATCCAAGTTTTGCTTCATTTAGACAGTTGCTATGCTACATAATAATAATACTAGTAATAGTATTGATAATACAACAACAACAACAACAACAACAACAACAACAACAACAACAACTACTACTACTACTACTACTACTAATAATAATAATAATAATAATAATAATAATAATGTGAAACCAGTTTGAAATTAATCAGTTTAAATTAACAAAATAGATTGAATCTATAGGTTAGTAAGTGGAATCATCAACTTCACATAGAGATATATTGATATACCGAGGGGGCGGGTGGAGGGGGGAAGCATGAGAAAAACTATTTATAAATCGATAAATTAAGTTTCTTAGTCATCTATAATTTTGTTGTTGTTGTCAATTTGATGAATTGAATTAAGATTGTACAAATTTTGTACTCATAGAATAGAAGCATCGTCGATATGATTCAGTTTGAAGTGAATTTGAAATGATATAAGATTATACATGTTATAACTTATGCCCTGTGTCCTATTAATCTAGAACGTAATGATACAGTCAATTAAAGAACAGTAATGAATTGATCAGACCAATGATGCATAAAACCTGTAAGAGCAGTCTAGAGTCCTTATCGGTCCTGCTTCACGCCTAGCCCTGACTGTTAAGTCCGAAACACCAATCTCAGCCTGTGCGATATGAATCATGTATTTCAAACACACTGTGTTTATACATTTGTACAAGATTTAGCCGAAAGTGGCTGTGAATGTGGGAGACTTTCATTAATAAACTGGGCATAATTCAAGAACGGTGATTCGTATAATAATAGTTTATAGGTAGAAATAAAGCTTATGATAAGACGAACATGAATATGAATAGTTTAGTTATTTAACAATTATACGATAAAAATATACGTATAGTATTGATCCATAAATGGATTCCAAAAGTTACCAATAATTATTCACATCAGGATATAATAAAATTACCACTAGTAACACTACTGTGGTTATCTTCTCAACTTTCTACCTCTAGACATTCTACTTTCTAATGCTGGTACATACTACATATATCTGTCGACATCAGTAGTACATACCACACTACTACAACTACTGTGGTGTGAGCTACTTATATCCACATAAGTACTATATAACGATAGTCAGGAATAGAATGTATTTCAGTGGAAGATCAAGAAAGAAATAAAGAATGGGAATAGAAAGTAACTGGTATGAAAATACAGGGAAACTGAAATCTGAGACGATGAACTTTCATAATAAGTGGAACACGAATATGAATAGTTTAGTCACTTAACAAGTATACAATAAAAGTATATGTATAATACTGTTCCATAAATGGATGTTAAATGGTACCATTCATTATTCTCATTGGGATATAACAGTACATCACTATGGAGTTTCACATCATGATTATTAAATGACTCATATATAAGTTAAATCTTATTTAGGTCATTAGTTGTAAATTACCATTAGACAAATAGTATTAAACTATGAGAATCCAATTTCTCAGTTTTTTCACTAAATTAACCTGAATGCTATAAAGTACAATCATTGTCAGGTCATTGATGTACCCTGTTGAATAGTTTCAAATCAAGATAAATAAAACACCGTTGGATGCCGGCCGACTTAGCGATCTACAGGTCAAGCGTTCTCGCACCATACCGATAGGTTCTGGGTTGGAATACTGCGAAGCGGTATCGTTGGTGAGCACGACTAAGGAGTCCCATACCAGGATGAGACGGCTATCCAGTACCTCCAGGTTTTCCATGGTTGTCTAGCTTCAAGTGACTCATGAATTCAAGTATAAAATTACTAAAATCTGTACACAATCATTTCTGATAAAGATACTTCATTTGCAAAACGTCAATCAGTCGTCTCAGACTTCATCATTCTGTCGTTTCCACACCAACCATTATTTGTTCTCGTTCTCTGTTCTTTGAACTTCATAATCTTCTGTCGCCAGGTATTTCACTTTCAATTGCTGATACATACTGCTTTCATCTGTCAACATCAGAAGCACGCACCACACAAGTAATTCTATTTTCCAGCACAATCGATGATTATAAAAAAAATACATTAATTTTTCACACATTATATGATGATTACTATATAAGCTATATTGCTATGTAGAGCTGAAGGTCTCATATGAGACTGGAGGTTCGTCATTGGTATTGTGAATGATTCGGCATTACTTTGACAAGTTTTATTGAATGTTCATGCACAAAATCAGTTTGCTGGTTAACCGATTTCATTCATAGCGCTGACTGCTCTGCAGCCTTCTCAAGGGCCATTATTATTCAAACATTGTAAAGCATGTTGCCATTGCAAACATTAATAAGCTTGACTGTCGTGTAAATGGAATAGGTCAACATTGGCCTGTTCGTGCTGTGCATAATTGATTCACGCGATTATTGATCGGAATATTTATACATATAATGTATAGGTGTATATAAATGGTACGAATAGTTCATCAGGGTGTTGTGTACTTGTATGATTGCGCCACAGGATTGATTTGTACTATTCAGATTGTAGCGTTAAAGCCTATGTGGCATCTGGTTCTCTATTGAAGCGGTTATAAAGTCTAAGCTGAGACGATATCTGGATCTCTCGTTAAACAGGATTGAGATTGTCACATGAAAGTCTGGATGGTATCCAATTCTCTTAATACAATCTCCACATGAACCCTTCTTTGATTATAATTTGTTATCTATACTCTTTTCTTTTCTTTTTATAAAAACAAAACAGTTATCGAAGAAACTGATCCAACTATTATTGATTGTCAACATTGTTATCAATCAAATGGGAAATGTTATCGATTTAATATTGGATCAATCAATCGAATACAATATCAATATAGTTGTTCATGTTCATTATTTAAACAAAATGATCAATCACTTAGTGATTATTATTATTCTTATCCATATTATTTAGATATAAATTTGAATAATAAAAAAATCAATATTGAATCTGATCAAGGATCTGAACAAGGAAAACAATTATCAAGGTTTCATATAAAGAGAAAAGATTGTATAGAATATTTATGTAAGTGTTTATGGTTTGAAAGTCGATTAGTGTTGTTTTAATTGGATCTTCTCATTGATACGTTAGGATTGTAATTGATCAGTTTGTAATATACGGATTGCCTTGATATTGCCTCAATCCATAAGCATTCTAAGGAAAGATGGATAGCGGCTAGTAGTGGAATAAAGAACGCGTGTTTCGTACTCTTTGGGATCCGTCAGCTAGATGTACTTACATCTCACAGTTGATATTCACTCCAGCACTCAAACACAATATTGTTCACTTCAAACGCTATCTCGTTATCCACTGAACTACTGAGTCCTCATAACCACTAGCTTGTACAATGTGGTCAAGTTTAAATTCATTTTGTATTGTTTACTTGAATGTTCCGATTGATGTGTTCGGACTGCAATTGATTAATCTCTTATTGGCATATGCGCAATATGGTGTACAGATTGCCTCGATATAGTCTTATTTCACAAGCATTCTAAGCACATCCCATTGCACAAGCAAGTGATTATCAGGACTCAGTAGCTGAGCGGATAACGAGATGGTATTTTGAAGCGAACAATATTGGGTTTGAGTCGCAGAGTGAACATCAACTTTGAGATGAAGGTATATCCGGCTGACGAGTCCCAAACAGAACGAAACGTGCATCGTGGATCCCATTACTAGCCACTATCCATCTTTGTTTATAATGTTGAATATTGTATTGAATATTGCGCACCATTGAGGAGTTCTACGATAGGACGAAACAACAGTCCAGTGCTTCCAGGTTTTCCATGGCGGTTTAGCTCCAACTGACTCAGGATCTCAACCATTGAAATTACTATAATATCCGCAAAACTCCTTCTGATATGAATAATCAAAAGCTCAAACTTATAGTTAGTAAAGTCTCGTAGCTTTATCAGTAAATATAACATTAACTGAAGAAAATAAATGTCTGTATAACTGTATATATTTTTAAAGACTTAGTCAAATACTTATATGATGTAAATGGTTTCTAGTTGTAAGTGATTGATTCTAATTGGTAGAAAAGTTTGTGCCCAGATATTATATTAACTGTCACTTGTCAACAAGGTGTATATACAATAATAAGAGAATAGATGTTACCTGTGGGATTTGAACCGACGTCACCTTGTGTACCAATCACTTACGTACTTACTTACTGGGAATATAGTGCCACCTATGACCAGTTTATTGAAGGCGTATAGGTTTGCAAGTCCCTCACCATTTTCGTTTCTTTATCCTAGTCCATGTCGTCCCATGATGTCTTCATATCCGGTGTTGTTCATTCCAACCTTGGCATTTAGGTCTCCCATAAGGATGGTCAAGTCCTTTGTTGGGCACTCCTCGTAGAGTTGGTCTTTACCGTCTTCATTGTAGTCGTTGGTAGGTGCATAGCATTGGATGACGTTCATTGTAATGCCCTCTTTCTTTGTTTTAAAGAAGGCTTTGATGATCCTTGGTCCATGAGATTCTCATCCTATAAGTGCATTTTTTGCTTGTTTGGATAGCATCAATGCAATTCCTTGTGTATGTGGAGCATTTTTTTCTTCATGGCTGGAGTATAACAGCAGCTCTCCGGAAGCTAGTCTTTGTTGTCCAACCTGCATCCAATGTGTTTAACTGATTTCAAGTGTCTCCAGGTTGTGTCTCTACATTTTTGTAGGAAGTTGGAAGGTTCTGCTGGTCTCTTACATTGTAGGAACATTCAATATACCTTAATTAATGGTTACTTTGGTTGTCAGAAAGGGCATCAGACTCGTGAATTTCAAAAGAACTCGGCTTTCACTATGAGGTGTCATAACTATTCTAAATGATGACCCTCTGATTGCCAAGGCAGAGTTTAATTGGTTTGAATAATTTTTTTCTGGTTAGTGTTACTCTAGTGAGTTAGTCTTCTACGGGATGAAGTCGCTAACCTCATGCCCAACTCTCCTTTTTCATCCAAACTTGAGATCGGCAGCAGCCCCAGAGGGGCTCCAGACGGAGTTGTGTCCTAATCGCAGATGTGATTTTATTCGAGCTATCACAGAGTTGTTATTAGAAGTGATATTTCTGATTGACTGTTTACAAACTATTACGAAAGAACGTTAAAGAGGTATAATATATTTGTAAAGAAAGAACTTTGGTCATCTTGATTTATTAACTAAGAATATTCGATTTAAAAGAAATTCGAACAGTCAACTATTCTTCATTTCAAGTAACTGAACTAGAGTTGAGGTATAACTAAATCTCCTAATTTTCATACTTCTGAACATTAATATTTTGAAAACAGACCAATAGTGTTGTTGTTACGCCCGTTATCCTTCATGGAGGAGCATAAACCGGCCACCAGCATTCTCCATCCAACTCTGTCCTGTGCACTCCTTTTCATTTCTTTTCAGTTGTTATTCATCCTTTTTATGTCTGCTTCCAATTCTCTACTCAGTATGTTCTTTGACCCTCCGTTCTTTCATTCCCCTTCAGGATTCCGAGTAAGCGTTTGTCTCGTGATGTAGTTTGATGATTTCCGTAATGTATATCCTATTCACTTCGAACATCTTTTCGTAATTTCCTCTTCAAATGGAATGTAGTTTGTTCTCTCCCACAGTAGGTTATTGCTGATGGTATCTTGTCAACGGAAATTCAGTATCTTGCGTAGGCAGTAGTTTGTGCATTTTCGATGATGGTTGTTTTAGTTCTCAAAGTTTTATCTCCATACAATAGAACTGCCTTGATGTTCATATTGCAGATTGTGACTTTGATATTGATTGACAGTTGCTTTGAGTTCCATATGTTCTCTAATTGTAGGAATGCTGTCTTTAATTTTGCCAATCCTTGCCTTTACGTTCACATTAGATCCTCTTTGTTCATTTCTCATTTTCCTTTCTTCTTTTTATTAGTACAGATTACATGTAATCAAGAAAGTATTCATATCTGTTTTAAAAATCCATATCAAACATCAATGATAAGAACCAATCATAGATCACGAAACATTCAAGTCTACTTGGATGCATCAAGGATCTATCCTGAATCCATTCAACATGAATTCAACTATTCTATAGATAATCAAAAATGTTACTTAATCAAACAGAATAAACATAATAATGATGAATATTGTTTATTAGTTAATTTTAATCAATTCAATGAATTGAGACAATGTGGAATTTATGAAATAAGTTATAAGGTAAGAAAGATTTGTTTATTTGTATTTAAAGTGTTTAATTGATTAAATTCTCAATAGTTAAGAGGGTAAGACGTTCGAACACGAGACTGAAGGTTTTAAGTTCGAATCCTGCTGGCAGGTGGGATCGTGGGTGTGTATTGTTGAAGAGTCGTATAATGGGATGAAAAGTGCATCGTGCATTCCACTCTTAGCCACTGTTACGTCCTTGATCTGTCTACCCACTTTTAGTGCTGAGGACAACTTGATTGAGATCATGAACCGATTGGTGTTAGACCACCATTGAAAACTTGGAAGCACTGGACGGTCGTTTTGTCCAATTGTGGGACTCCTCAGTGGCAGTGCGCATCCACGATCCCGCTTGCGGGATTCGAACCCAGGGCCTTCAGTTTCGCGCGCGAACACTTAACCTACTGGAACACTCAGCTGGCACCCAATGGTGTTAATGTCTAACGTCAACCAATCCACGAAATTGCGCAACCATCTTCCATTGTAATGAGGTAGACACCTGTTTCTACCTGACAAGGATCAGCTCTACTGGTCACGGCTTCTCACCAGAACTCCGAGAATTTTCTCACGAAGCTAGTCACTAGTGAGCACATGGTCTATTATCAATCGGTTCATGATCTCAATAAAAAACTTGACAATCTCCACAACCCCTAAACTGCTAAATTGAGACCTTGACGCGATATGTTGACTGGTTTAACCTTGAGGCTAGTATGTATGAGTTTGAAGTGGGGTAGAGAGAAGAAAACTATTCTATCACCTGACTGACTGACAAGTACGCGAGTGAGAGAAGACAAGTCAACTGGGACACTACTTGATTTATTCTCAATCCCAATTTGGTTCCCGATTTCCCGATATCAGATCAGTGTAAAAAGATACATGAATAAATAGATGACTAACCCGACCACAACGCACATGATTTAGGAAAATACAATCATGTCCAAAACTGGGAATTAGCGTAGAAAATAGGGTGCAAAATATTATGTTTAAATTACAATAGCTTGGGAACAAAAAGGGCTATGGCAGTGAATCATACATCAAACGAAAGTCTATAATCTGTAGAATGAACTAGGGACAAAAATAAATGTTAATGTTTTACAAGCTTTGAATAAAATGGAATAACTTCCCGAAAAATTAACTTTTATAATTTGTCAAGGCTTCTCGTTTCTCTGTTGACATCACCACTATCCATCTTTGCTTATGATGATTTTGAAATAAGGCAATATCGAGGCAATCTGTACACCATATTGAGCATATGCCAATAAGAGACTAATCAATTGCAGTCTGAACACATCAATCGGAACATTCAAGTAAACAATACAAAATGAATTTAAACTTGACCACATTGTACAAGCTAGTGGTTATGAGGACTTAGTAGCTAAGTGGATAACGAGATAGCGTTTGAAGCGAACAATATTGTGTTTGAGTGCTGGAGTGAATATTAATTGTGAGATGCAGATATATCCAGATGACGAATCCTAAATAGGGCGAAACGCGCATTGTTGATTCGTGTTTATATTATCAGTCAGTAGAATATTTGATAAGACTCCACCTTATGTAATCACTCAATCTACATGACTAAGTACTGTTGATTAGTGTCAAGTCCTTTGAGTGAAATCGTTCATCTTTTCAAATGAAATCAGTAGTCAGTTAATTTAGTGGTCAACATGAAATCGAAATCTCTTGCTCAAGTCACGTATTGTTAGTTATATAGTTATATAATATACCCTTGTGGGCCAGGGTAATTTTACATTTGTTTTCAGGAGAACCAGACACTATCGAGACTTTCGCGTGACAACCTAAACAGCACAGGTCGATCCGGTTTAACAGGAGGGCCAGACATCGCCCAGGCCTAAGTTTTATAATCCGAGCAGTACAGCTCAATCCCGCTTCACAGGAGAACCAGATACCGTATAGGCTTAAACGCTACAATCGGAATAGCACAGCTGAATCCTGCGCGCAACCACACAAGTACCAAGTAGAGCGAACTAACCAACATAAATCATATTTAAGTTAAAATACATAGCACTGTTATTACATAAATGCATTTTGCATGTCAAGCTGAATCAGGGTATACTAAAGGTTTGGATAAGTTTCTTTTGTATACATAGTTCCAATTTTTGTCAGATACAATGGCAAATGAAAGTTGTTCCTGTCGATTGTTCCTAAAATTGATCGGTTAGAGAATACTATACTCAATGTTGCTGAGAGAAATGCTATTTTAAGAGATCCAGAGATTCTTCTCTCTAGGTTGTCAATAGTTTCGTTACCTCTGAAATCTATGTTTACCCAAATTATTGTCGTTTATACGGAGGTTTTCGATATTTATGATGGTCTGTATTTAATATTCTTGTTATTAATCCTCGATTAGATACCCGTTTTCAACATGTATTCTCCTTAGGAGATTGGAGCAATTCTGCAGCAATTTGGAAGGCTCTGCCGGTCTCTTACATTGTAGGAACATTCAATGTACCTTAATTAATGGTTACTTTGGTTGTCAGAAGGGGCATCAGACTCGTGAATTTCAAAGGAACTCGGCTTTCACTATGAGGTGTCATAACTATTCTAACCGAAGACCCTCTGATTGCCAAGGCAGAGTTTAATTGGTTTGAAATAATTTTTCTGGTTAGTGTTATTCTAGTGAGTTAGTCTTCTACGGGATGGGGTCGCTAACCTCATGCCCAACCCTCTTCCTTTATCCGGACTTGGGACTGGCAGTAGCCCCATAATAGCTCCAGATGGAGTTTTCTTAAGAGATAAAATTCATCATATGCGAAATCGGAAGTGCAAACTATTTGTACTGAGAGATATGTGTAAATTTCCCCTTCTACCAAAAAGAAACACCTGTGGAAGTTTGATGGCCGGTTGTTTCATGATAATATTCTATGAATCTCCTGACAGTCCTATCGGATATACTTTGTCTGTTTTTAGGTTCAATTATGAATTTCATTGACAGATAACAGTTGTCAATAGTCATAAAGGATAAACGTATCACTGAAAATGAAAAAATATTCTACTAAGCAGTTATTATACTGTATTAAAAATCACTTTTTGTATTTCATCTTAATAATCTTAACTTTCTTTTTATATTTTTTATAGTATGGATCTGTATTTTATGGCACATTACATGCTGAAATTGCAAAGAATGAGGTTTCATTATTGAGAAACGTTCATATTGACTTTGTTTGTCATATCAATGTTTCCTATTTGAATGGATCAAATCTATCTACTTCATATTTATATGACAGGTAAACTACTTATGCATGTATATATATACTGCCAGGATGTAATAAGATATAATGTCTGTGTTTGTTGGGTGATTTGAATTTTTATTTCTACTTGTAATATACTGTTTCCGATAGAACCCTTAAAACTTGACTTTACTTTTATTTCAATCATTTGTGCTACTTAATACTAATAAAGTAGTTCAAACTATAACGAAACATTTCTTAAGCTTATCTGGTGAAACTCTACTTTATGGACGACCTTTGAACGAATTTTTAAGTGACCTTGAGAACATTAGCCAATCAGAAGAGAGTTAGTATAAAGTAAAAATATATTATAAAAAAGTGATGAATTACAATGGATATTCTTCTTTTACATGATTTAAGAACTTGTTGAGGTTTGATAAAGGTTCAGAAGTTTTGAAATCATAGTGCATGCGGCATAAGAACTCGTCCATATGACTCCATAATAATCGTCCTCTGGAGCCGTGGTAGGGTCTTAAAAAATACTTCAGCCTAGACCAGATGCCCTCAATGTTGTTTGTATGGACCCCCGTCGTTGGGTCAACAAAATGACGTTTGTGCACCACAACATGATGCACAAAACCAAGTCTCGAGAGGCATCTATACGCTTTCCAATCACCGGTATAGCCGCAGCTAATGTTACTGGAGACTTTATGATCCAATTTGCAACGATTATCATGGTTTGTCTTAGCCTTAGCCGTGACCGGGCAAAAAAAGTGCCAGTTCGAGCAGATTTTATTCTACAACATATAGTACAACGAAATACAATGTCATCGCGGCAGTCTGCACATCGTGCTGCGGTCATTTAATTGCCGCAGGAACTTCTTAATAGTCCCATCTGCTGTAGTCTCTCAACGATCACCTATTCTCTAAAATCTGCTGTAAAACGATCGAATGTGAGCATCTCGCATTGAACTTAGCTCCGTGACCTTGAAACTCCTCAAACGCTTTTGATTGGCTCGTCCATAAATTAGAGTCCTACCGCTTATTTATTGAAAGTAGTTGGATTCTTTTAATTAAAACGAACTGCTTACATTCAGACCTCAATGTGACGCTTCATTTTTTAAAATTTCAAACGGCATTTCTGAATGTTTTGCTTACTTATTTTGCATGTGCGATGTACTCCTCAAAAGTTTATCTTCAAACGTTATGCTTATTATCGAAAGGCTGTCTAATTTACTTTCTTTGTGCAACTGTGTATCGGAATGCGCTTAATCGACACACATTAATTTAGACTTTACTGTTATTGTTGTAAATGAAACTAATACAAATAGACTGATCGCGTCTCTTGCATAAGGGACTTTTGCGTAGTAATTTGGTCATTCAGTTGGAAATTATGTTTACTTACTTACGCTTGTTACGCCCAATGGAGCGTAGGCCGCCGACCGGAAATCTCCAACACACTCTGTCCTCCGCCTTCCTTTCTAGTTCTATCCAGATCTTGTTTATTCTTCTCACTTCTGTCTCCACTCTTTGGCGTGATGTGTTATTTGGTCTTCCTCTTCTCCCTTGTCCTTAAGGATTCCAAGTGAGGGTTTGCCTTCTGACTCAGTTGGGTGCTTTCCTCAATTTGTGTCCTATCCACTTCCAGCACTTCTTCCTCGTTTCTTCCTCTATAAGAATCTGGTTTGTTCTCCCCCATAGTAGGTTGTTGGAAACTATGCACCACTTGACAATGTATACGAAACAGAGTTTGTTGACAAAGACTATCTCGGACAATCTAATTGGCAAATAACCAACTGTCATTTAATCTTCTCCATGTAGATATTATGTGATTGACAATTTCATCTCACTAATGAGTTAGTTCCTCTATAAGTCAATACAGGAATGTCAAAAATAGTTCAGATATTACAAATCTTTCCTCTAACAAGTTTTAAAATATCCATAATCCTCTCATTCTTTTTTGTTCTCAAAGATCGATCACTTTTAAAAAAAGAAATGGTCAGCTGGATTTATCACAAAAATCACCGAGAATCAACAACCTCTTCCCAACGAAGTACATCGAAAAGCACACTTTTCAAAAAGAAACAACACGAAATACTAATCTCAGTTCAATATCTTTATCCATAATTAACTTAACCAAAAATATTTCGCAAAATCATGAAATGACATTAAAAATCTCTTCATCATTATCTGGTAAGAAATTTAAATCTAGACTTTTTGTTCAGTTATTTGCAACTATTCAACTGATAATTAAGTTCATGAGTCAGTTGAAGCCAAACAACCATGGGCAACCTGAAAGCACTGGATGGCTGTTTCGTCCCACTGTGGAACTCCTCAGCAATGCTATTGGGGACGATAGATCCCCAAAACTCATATTTTGTAATTTTATCATATCGATTAACTTATCGATTAAATGTTTAAATATTTGAATGGCAGTCAATTGATGAACTTATCGATTAAATGATTAACTAGGAGTCAATTGATGAAATTATCGATTAAATATTTAAATGCCTGTCGATTGATGAACTTATTGATTAATGTTTAAAAACATTTTACTATGACAATATCGATTGTAAATATTTGTATAAATACGCTTGACTTGTGTGCTTAACCTGACTTGATATCTGCTGTTTGCCTGTAGAATACACTTTCTACGCCCCACCCAGACTTCTTGATCGCGTTAGCTGAGTCGGGTACAACGGACCAGAATAGCCTATCGAGATTTTGAATCCCTTGATCCGATCGATAAGTCACTGTCCTCTAATCGGTGGCCTCTTTGGGGTATAACAAATGCCCATTCACGATCCCGCCCTGCGAGATCTGAACCCAGGACTGTCAGTTCACAGAAACCCTTTCTAATAATTATCATCATGTGCTCGTTGGTGACTGGCTTCAAGAGGCATTTCTTGGAGTTCTAGAGAGAAGCAGTGACCAGTAGAGTTCAACCAGGTCTGTTGTGAGATAGTAATCCATTGAAGACAATGGTGAACGGTGGCTCAATTTCGTGGATTGGTTGAAGCTAGACATTAACACCGCTGTACGCTGGCCGGCTCGGTGGTCTACAGTTTAGGCGCTCGCACGCGAGACCGATAGGTTCTGGGTTGGAATCCCGCAAGGCAGGATATTGATTGTGCGCTGCTGAGGAGTCCTACAATAAGACGAAACGGCCGTCCAGTGCTCTCAGATTTTCCATGGTTATCATTTAATCTTCTGCATGTATATTTTACGCGACTGACAATTTCATCTCAATAATGAGTCAGTTCCTCTGTACGTCAATACAGGGAAAATTCATGAACCCAACTATAAAATTACTATGATATCCCCAAAATCCCTCTCTGATTATAATACCTAATTTGTTAATTTTTTTCTTCAATTTATTTAGAATTCATATTAATAGAATATTGTTTGGTCAAAGGTCAATCGATTCCTTCCAAAATACTGCCAACATATGAACATGAAAAACTCTTAGATTTAAAGTACGTACGTACGTACGAAGTAGACAGCAAGTTTAAACAAATACTCTTGTGATATATGATTTGAAATCTTAACACTATTAACACGTTTTCATGCCTGTCTACTTATCTGAACATCGTAGTATTGAAGAAAATGAAATCTATTTGTCAGAGACTTTAGAGTTAATGAAAAACTTCTGGCCTGAGTCAACACCTGAACTAAGGATAGGAAGTAAAGTAGTCGAACGCGTTGACAACTTCACTTATCTTGGAAGTCTGATCAGCCCTAATGTGTTGGTGTCTGACGAAATCTCAGCACGGATTCGAAAAGCTCGCTTGACTTTTGCCAACTTACGTCACCTATGGCGAAGGCGAGATATCCGTCTATCAATAAAAGGACGAGTATATTGTACAGCAGTCCGTTCTGTTCTTCTTTACGACTGCGAAACATGACCACTAAGAGTAGAAGATATTTGTAAGCTACTAGTATTTGACCACAGATGCCTTAGAGATATTGCTGGCATCTTCTGGGATCATCGGGTAAGTAATAGTGAGGTTAGACGCAGGATATTAGGGATTGATGGTAAATCAGTTGATGAGGTTGTGAATCTTCATCGACTGGGATGGTTGGGCCACGTGTTACGTATGCCTGAACACCGATTACCATGACGCGCAATCCTGACTAGTGTTGAGGATGGTTGGAAAAAAGTTATGGCTGGCCACACCAAAACGTGGCATCAGTGCTTGAAGTCACTGACTTCTGGTCTGAGTCGTGTTGGTAGATGCAGACTACATGGTTGGGGTCCGTGTGACTATCGTAACCAATGGTTTGAGACTGTGGGTGTCGTGGCTCAGAATCGATCAAAATGGCGCAGGTGTATACACTCTCTGTCTTCCTTTAAACTATGAGATTAAAATTACTTTATATCTTTCTTTCTACGAACTAATTCTTTCCCTCTTTACTATATCCTTACATGAAATATTTCCTTTGTATATTACACCATTGAGTTAACTGCTTCTATGAATCCAGTGTTCGTCTTGTTGTGCTAATGAGGTATGGCGACTTGAACAGACGCATATATATGCCTGGTCCTACATTGTAACTGACTGCCTGACTAACAACTAATCTTTTCTAGTTCAAACGAACGACTTCATGAATAATGCCTATAATTTTAATAGAGCGTTTATAAAAGCAGTTTGATCTGAACATAATATCCATCAATGACTGACAATATTCAAGAATTAGTGAAAACCAGAGAAGATTAAACAGTAGTTTCATTCTAATGTGAGACTATTCAGAATGAAGAATGCACCCAAGATTTCGTTGAGGAAAGAGTCCACGAATTCAAGTTTCACAGAGAGCACATTTCCTCAAAGATATTGGTTTATAATCTTAAATCGATACACAAGAAAGATGACATGTCACAAATATATAAAAAGGCCAGACTATAATTTATAGACGAACCAATCACGTATAAGATAACAGGTCTCAGAATTTGGCGCGAAATTCATCCATCCATTTGGCTAAATAGAGTTTTGGCATTATAACTGTTATCGGTTCGTGATGAAAACCCTAAATCTAATTCGTTACCTTAACCATCAACTGTAAATCATAGTTCGAATTCCTCACATTAGTTTATAACCCTCATTTGGTTCTAGTTATTAGGTGGACACTCAAGGTCACCCTAACATCACTCAAAGGCCGTCCATAAATTATAGTCTTACCTATAAGAGTTTATATAAATAAAAACCTTATGTTGTACCTGTTATCGAAATAGTTTTTGATCAAGGATCTATGGTTAATCAATAGTGCCGATTAAATATTCTCTTTATCTCTCTCTCTCTCTTTAACACATAAACACAGTATTTTACTGAGAATCGATTGTACAAATCTGTATTTGATTAGTTACTAAATCCTTTGAACTGGTATAGATACTAGTTCGATAGTGATTGATTTTAGCTGATAGATAACAGTGTTACCAAACGTATGGTAATCCAGAAATTACTATTTCTAATCAAAGTCTATCATTCTTTGAAGAAGTCGTCAGCGATTAGAAAACTATCAGAAACAATTCGATTAGTAATAGCTCTTCAGAAAGTTCTAGAAGTTTAAATACAGACTGATTATCATTTAATTATCCTTATTAGACAATAAGTCTAATTGTTATAATACACTTTTTTCCCAGAAACTTCTTACGAATCCATTTGGTTCCAACGAATTCACTAACTTTTAATTTCTTGTAGAAGTTTGTGACATCTGGGGGTTAACAATCGGTTACAGAGTCATTATGTAGGCATTCAAGTTGGATAGTGACCTATGATATCTCTACATTTAGTGTGGATCCAGAAATTTCCAGAGGACCAAAGTTGTTTTAGATGGAGTTTTTTTCTCTGAGTTGGATGGCTTACCCGTGTAGCATTCATCGTTATTCTAAACAATGTCATCAGCAGAAAATTCAGGTAGAAGTGAAATGTTCCAATTTCATCACATATGGCTCACAGCTTGTTCTGTAGACTTCGATCTGGATTGGTTCTTGTTGACCATTAACGTGTCATTGTTTACTTCTTTATTCTGGTTGTATCTCCCATTAGTTTGATTCTTGGTCCTATATTTGTCCATAATTTTTCTGATTGGTTGATAAATTGGATCGATTTCAATGTGTCTGTTGATTGCTGATTGATCTGAGTGCCAAGCTTCTAAAAATTCTCTGATGTATTTAGAATTGCCTGTATTCAAGATCTCGGCATTTTCCAGTCGAATGTGTGTCCACAGTTATCCACATTCATATGTTTTTGGTGTGTTACACCTATTTTGAAAGGCTTAAACAATCTCGTCGTAGTTCATGATGTGCCTTTTATACATTGTAGAATGATCCATTTGTTGGTTTCTGTACTTGATTTTGTCTCTGATGATGCGTTTGGCTGATATATTTGGATGAAGTTGATTGGGTAACCGTTCTTCTGATAGATGATCTTCAGGTATTTTACCGCGCTGCAAGTGTATTACAGTGTGTTCTCTCCCTCTTGAACAGAGATTGTACGCAGTTGATTTCGTGAGCTCTTGGGTTATTACTACACTAATTGAAAACTTGATCTGTGTAGGTCGCTTTCCGATATATTGGAGTCTCCAGTTTTCCTATGTCAGTTCTGATGATTAATATATCTAAGAATGGCTGTTTATTGTCCGATTATTGTTCCATTGTGAAGTTGTTGTCATCGAAGACGTGATTGATCAGACTGTAGGTGTTTTCCAGCTCATACTTTTCGACGATGACGAATGTGTCGTCCACATAACGAACCCAAATGTTTTTTTTAAATGAACTAATTAATAACACTACTCAACTTAAAAATAGTTGACAACGTTGAAGATGTTAATCTACACAATAATAATTACCATTCCTATAGCCTTTCTAAAACTGTTTCTGTTATTTTACCAAAAATAATATTGTTGTAACTTGTGGGTTTGTGACCCTATCAATATATAACGTAGCGATACCTTCAATTAGAAAACAGTGAATTATGATGCATAAAACCTGTATGAGCAGTCTAGAGTCCGTAGCGATCCTGCTTCCCCGCCTACCCAACCTATTAAGTCCAGAACACCGATCTCCGCCTCTGCGATACGAATCATTTATTTCAAACATACTGGGTTTATATACAAACCAAACAGATCACATCACACCATAAAATAGGAAACAACATTTGTACAAGATCTAACCAGAAGTGGATGTGAATAAGGGAGATAGTAAATGATAGACAGAGCATAATTCAAGTATGGTAAATCGTATAATAATAGTTCATAGGTCAAAATAAAACTCCTAATAAGAGAGACACGAATATGAATAGTTTAGTTACTTAACAATTATACGATAAAAATATACGTATAGTATTGATCGATAAACGGATTCCAAAAGTTGCCAATAATTATTCTCATCAGGATATAACAAAATTACCACTAGTAACACTACTGTGGTTATCTTCTCAACTTTCTACCTCTAGACATTCTACTTTCTAATGGTGGTACATACTACATATATCTGTCGACATCAGTAGTACATACCACACTACAACTACTGTGGTGTGAGCTACTTATATCCACATAAGTACTATATAACGATAGTCAGGAATAGAATGTATTTCAGTGGAAGATCAAGAAAGAAAGAAAGAAAGAATGGGAACAGAAAGTAACTGGTATGAAAATACATGGAAACTGAAATCTGAGACGATGAACTTTCATAATAAGTGGAACCCGAATATGAATAGTTTAGTTAATTAACAATTATACATTAATAGTATACGTATAATATTGGTCCATAAATAGATCCCAACAGTTACCATTCAATTATTCTCATCGAGATATAACAAATATTTTGATCTAAATTCAATGTTGAAATTGAAGTAAATTTCTCACACGTAACACCTTAAGTATCTGTTCGGATATGAGTTATCAATATAGTGAACGAGACCACCAATAAAGACAATCAAATGCATTTGAATACAGAGTTACAGAACGACGTTCCTACACCAATCACTCACTGTTGTCATTCTCTTCTCTTTGATCTTCTTAACTTTCTGTCGCCAGCTATTTTACTTCCAATTAATGATGCATACTACTTATACCTGTCAATATCAGTAGTACACATAACTTGAATAAATATTGTTTCTTCTTATTTCTTTTTTGTTTTCATTAGATGTTTCAATACAAACATTCATAGAATTAAACAAATCATTGATATATATAATAATCTAATAGAATATCAATGTATTTTATTCAAACGAATCATTCATCATCGGACATCGAATAAAAATCATTCAATTTGGATCAGTCAATCATTTCATTTAAACAATATCTCATTATATAATACAGTTTATTCTACTTGTCTTATACGTGTTTGTCAAATAGAACAACTTTGTACATATGTAAGTGGTTAAAGACAAAAAAAGAGCGTCGAATTACATTGTTGGAAAGTATTTATTTACAGAAAACGGGGTGATTTGTGGAGAATGTAGTGATTTGAAGAGTTGAATTCATAAGTCGATATAAGCTAGACTACTATGGAAAATCTAAAAGCATTGGATGTTTGTTTCGTTGTAGTATGGAACTCTTCAAAAGTGTGTATCCATGATATCACTGACTAGATTCGAACTCGGCATCTACAGTCTCGTAAGTGAACGCTTAAGCTTCAGTGCTTCTGAGTTTTCCATGGTGATCGAGCTTTAATCGACACATAAATCCAACTGTTAAATTACTACAATCTCCACAAAATAACCCTTTCTGATCATAATAATAATAATAATAATGTGCCCACTAGTGACTGATATTTCTTGGAGTTCTAATGAGAAGCCTAGTGGAAGACTAGTGGAGTTGAACCGTGTCTGTTGTGAGACAGCTAATGACTGAAGACAATGGTGGACGGTGTAGCAATATGGCTGATTGATTGAAGTTAGACATAAATACGGTTGGATGTGGACTGATTGGTGTACAGGTTAAGCGTTCTCACGTAAGTCTCAATGTTGTGGGTCCGGGTCCCACGTGAGGGATCGTGGATGCTCACAACTCACCAGTCCCATACTAGAACGAAACGGTTATCCACTATTTCTAGCTTTTCAATTGTCGTCCAACATTCATGATATTAATGTAAAATCAACAATGTACACAACCCTATACTGATAACTATGATGTGCTGACTAGTGACTAGGTTGAAGATGGATTTGATGGAGTTGTAATGAGAAGCCATAACTAGTGGAGTTGAACCATGTCTTTTGTGAGATTTCCATCCTATAGTTACTTTTTGTACTGTTTAGGATAGCATCATTACAACTTTTTAAGTGTGATAGTTATTTTCAAACATAAAATGTTGAAGCTTATTAACATAACCTAACAAAAAATCATTTACATCAGTAACGATTATTGATCATTTCGATAATCAACCATTTGTCAAATTTCAATAGTTGAAATCATGACTCAATTAGAGCCAGACCACTATAGAAAACCTTGAACCACTGAACAGTCAATTTATCCTATGACCCCGCCTCCCGAGATTCGAACCCAGGACATATCAGTCTCACGCGCGTGAGCGCTTAACCCCTTAACCTGCGATCCAACGGTGGTATCCACAAGAATAGAACGCCTTCTGATATATTATTTTTTGTCAGATTGTCAGCTTTTAATTATTCTGAACAAATATGATACATCAATTTCCTTTTTTTTTTCTTTTTTGGTTACAGGCTGAATTTTATTCATTGAATAGAACAAATAAACAATATAATGATCCATATGTACAATCTAAAGTGTATATACCATTGATAATGTTGAATAATAATTATTATTATAGAAACAAATCGAAATTATCCCACTTATTCCCGCCAATAAATTTTAATAATTTAATACAATTTTACTTTATTCAATCTACATTGCAAATAAATCAAACTAATATTAACATACAATTGAATGATTCTATTGATGTATATTTTAAACATTCAACTATAAGTAAGTTCATCTTAGTTTCTAACAACTATAAGCTCTTTTCTTTTCAATAGTTGAAATCATGAGACGATTGAAGCTAGACCACCATGAAAAACCTGAGTTCGAATCCCGCGGGGTGCGGGGTCGTGGATGCACACTGCTGAGGAGTCCCATACTAGGACGAAACAGCCTTCCAATGCTTCCAAGTTTTTCATGGTGGTCTAGCTTCAATTGACTCATGATTTCAACTATTAAAATTACTAAAACCTCCACAAAACCCCTTCTTTTTTCTTTTCGTTAGTTGATTAGTAGAGAGAGATTATCTTTAATTATAGCACCTAATTGCCATGATACGGCCGAAAGTGAGGAGAGTCAGATCTTCCTCTCTAAATGATATCACATGGCCACGTACATATGACCACTAGCAGGAAAGTCCTACTCATTGTCTTCTCTCACCACGGATGTTGTTTAAGAAATTAAGAAGACGGAAAGCGAACGTCCGAGTAGATGAACACGGAGAATCCACCTAGGAGAGTTGGAAAATTCTGATTCCAAACTAATAGTGCACATGGGCTCCAGGATCTTGACGGAACAAATGGTGTATGAACCTATTGTTGGTCATCGGCTACCATGGTCCTGCATCTTCTGGCGTTTTTAACTGGATATGTCATTTACTGATAAACAAAAGAATTTGTAGTTTATCTTTATTTATGCTTAACACAGAATATGTTCATTTCATATTGTAAATATAGATTGAAATGCCTCACTATTGCTTATTTGGTATTAAAAGTTATGGACAATGAGTTTAAGTTTTAGTGTGAATAGTTAACACTAGAATTTAAGTAGATCCAACAGATAAAACTCAGATCAAGCAAAGAACACACTCCAGAATCCTCTGATAGAAGTCTAAATTTTAATCATAGGATGAATCGCTATTATGTTCACGAAAACCTGATATTTTCGTTGGACGACATGAATTACAAAATCTTTATTTTAGTTAGAATGAACTCAGAAAAGCAAGGCGACAGCTTATGTGTCAGGGGGATTCAGATTCTCCTAACGAACTTTATGATCAATGTTCTGCAATAAAGAATAATTTATCTTCACCACGTAGAAAATGGAAGATGCAAAAACCATTGCATATCTGGGCAGCATCATTAATGAACACGGAGGATCTGATGCAGATGTGAAGGCACTGATCGGCAATGCAAGAGAAACATATCTACAAATGAAGAACATCTGGAACTCAAAACAATTGTCAACCAATACCAAGGTAAAAAGTTTCGTCACAAATACCAAAATAGTTCTACTGTATGTGGCGGAAACTTGTAGAACTACGAAACCCATCATCCAGAAGATACAAGTGTTTAGTAACAGTTGTCTATGCAAAATATTTCGGATTTGTTGGCCAGATACTATCAGCAGCAACCTACTATGGGAGAGAACAAATCAGATCCCAACAGAGGAAGAAATGAAGAAGTGTTGGAAGTGGATAGGACACACATTGAGGAAAGCACCCAACTGCGTCACAAGACAAGCCCTCACATGGAGTCCTCAAGGCCAAAGGAAAAGAGGAAGACCAAAGAACACATTACGCCGAGAAATGGAGACAGATATGAGAAGAATGAACGATTATTTATTTTAACACATAGATATTGGTACAAGGAGGCACTAAATACATATGCGCCACACAAATTCATTCGATGTGTGAGGGCTGTGATACTGCCCGGGTACCCAAACCGAATCAGGTGGTTTTCTCAGGGGGCCACACCCCGAGCCTTCTACCTGAAGGTCTGATCCACAAGGCAGTGGAGCATCGTAAAGAGATGCAGTCCCATGGAAGCCGGTGACCAACAATTGGTTCATACGCCATTTGTTCTAGCAGGATACTGGAGCCCATGTGCAGCATTGGTTTGGAATCCGGTTAAAGAGCCGGACATTCGCTTTTCGTCCTCTCATTTTCGTAAACAACACTCCCGCCACGAGAAGGCAGTGAGTAGGACTTCCCCGGCAGAGGCTATATACGCTGGCTGGGGAGAGAGACTCTCCCCACTCTCGGATGTACCAGGGCATTTGGGGGCAGAACTATTAAGGAGGGTCCAGGATAGTGGGGGTTGGAGAATTCTGGTCGGCGGCCTATACTCTATTGAGGGTAACCGGCATAAGTAAATAAGTAACTACATAAAACAGTCAGCTGATATTAGTGATGGTATTTACTGCGTGGATTTTAAATTGCCTTAACCGATAAAAATCATATTCATTTCCTAATACCATTTCTATCTGTTTTATATTACAGATGTGAACAGATCACTAGAATATGTTTGGATTAAATATATATTGGGAATTTCCATTTTTACTTTAATGTGTCAAATAATAATATTTTCATTTAAACATTTGAAGAAATGCTACACAAAATACAAACTTATCAATCATAGAAATCCGTTTGTAATGACAGCGGTTACAAGTAAGCATGTTAATTTTGTTTTAAAATGTTTGCTACTTATAAGTAGTACGAATGATTTTTCATACACATAGTTTACTTTATTATTTTAAAGAGAGCAAGAACAAAGATTAGTGCAGAACAATCAATGGATTCATTTTATTTCATTAGGTTCTCATTAGCTGCTTACAACCTAAATTATTTAAAATTCAACATTATTACAGATATTGACATATTTATAAATAAGAGGGTGATTAAGGATGAATACATGTGTATCTGTTATGGTTTGTTATTGCTTGAATGCGATTACTGATGCGTCTTACTCGAACGAAACGAAGGATCAATGATTCAGCGACTCGATAGTCTATTCTGGTTCGTTGTCCCCAACTCTGCTAACTCGATTAAGAAGTCTGGGTAAGGTGTAGAAAGTGTATTCTACAGACAAACAGCAGATAACAAGTCAAATCAAACACACAAATCAAGCGTATTTATACAAATATTTACAATCGATATTGTCATAGAAATTTTTTAAGCATTAATCAATGAGTTCATTAATTGACCTATTTGCGCATTTAATCGATAGTTCATCAATTGACCCCAATAAAAATATCTAACATTTAACCGATAAGATGATCGATAAGATAAAATTTAAAAATATGAGTCTGGGGATCTATCGTCCCCAACAGTATCATGATGTAGCGAAGATTCAGATAGAGTTAATGAGCTCATAAAATGTTTGATTCGAATAAATAAATAAAGTTAGAGAGGAAAAGTTCCAGAACATTGAATTAGTGATTAGAACTCATGAAAATAGATTAATGGTAATAAAGAAAATATGAATTGAAATCAATCAGTTATGTATGATGTAATTTAAAAGAGTTGGAGTAATGACACAATAAATAAATAGAGAAATAAATGAATAAAAGGGGGTTATTCTTACCAGGGTAAAGAAAGATTTATTACTGTCTCTTTTTGTATACATAGATCTGGTTTTAAACGTTTGATTGCTATTGCTTCGGAAAATTTCAAAAGGTTGGGGTTTGATTGTTTGTTAATCACCTTGAAGGACGTCAGTATATAAACTTCATGTTCTGTATCAAGGAGATGTCTTGCAATGGCACTGTTGAATGCGTTCAATCCATTTAATCTTAAACTTTTCGGAATATGTTTTTTGGGCGTCCATTGCCATCTATAACACAAAGTGTAGTACAGGGGAGAGCTAATCAGAACCGAAAACTCAGCTTTTGCACGATGATCACTCACTACGAACAACTGGGATATGTTTGTATGATGCTCAAAATGTTTCACGTGATAGAGGAAATTACTTTTTGTCTCCACAGAGTAAACAGTATGACGTTAAACACAACAAACGTCCAATTACGTTGATGTAGATCATATATGACTGGCTAATCAACTCTCCCTAAATTTCAACACTAAACCTACACTCCTGGTTGTACTATGCTTTATGGGCGAACTGATAATACAGCATCTTTTGTATTTTTTTAGCGGAATTCGTTCATCCATATGCTTACAGATAACCTTTGCATTCAACATGATTTAGTTTATGATGGCAACCCCAATCCTAAATAGGAACAATCTGGGACTCTTCCACATCAATTGCTGCTCTTATAATGGTTCAGGAAAACAGGTTTCCTACATCCGTAATGAGTAATTTTCTCACAAACTTTGTATTTGCAATAGGTAGTTTATGATTGACTAGGAACTAGTGTAAAAAATGATCACAGTTGTTTTAAGCTTATCTGCATAATGTTCTCTTGACAATTTCATCTTTTGTAAACTTAAGACAACGAATAATATTTCAGTATACTACAGAAACCCTACCCAACATATAAGTCGATACCTTGAATTAGTTGTATTCTACCAGTTATGTAATCACATCACTGATAAGTTACAATATTTTCTCAGAAATTTTTTAAATAATATTTGCCTAAATTAAGTAGAACCACGTATTCTTGTAGGACTTTGAATGCTTTTTCATTTCAAACTAAAAGTAATTCACACTTACTTGTATAAAGTATATAGTTAAAAATATTCTCAAAATAATGTGTAAAAGTGTGCACCACATAAATTATTCGGTTTGTGTGAGGACTAGGATACTGCCCGGGTACCCAAACTGAAGTCATGGTTTTCTTAGGTCACACCCGGAACCTTTGACCTTGAGGTATGATCCATAAGGCAGTGGACGAACGTCAGGAGATGCGGTCCTATGGTAGCCGTTTCATACGCTATTTGTTCTCTCAGGATACTGGAGCACATGTCCACCATTAGTTTGGAATCAGGGTTTTCCAACTCTCCTAGGTGGGTTCTCCGTGTTCATCAACCCGGTTAAAGTGCCATACATTCGCTTTTCGTTCTCTCAATCATATAAACAACACACGTGGTGCGAGAAGGCAGTGATTAGGACTTCCCTGGTAGTGGTTGTATGCACGTGTCCATGTGAGAGCATTTCGAGATGGAGGGAGCAAACTCTCCCCACTGTTGACTGTACCAGGGCATTTTGGGGCGCTATACTTCACTAGCAAGGATTATTCAAATCCTCAATGTGTAGTAAAATATCGAACAATAATCCCTAAGCGCTGAGAATTGAAGACAATTTAATGAAATTATGTTAACCAATGAACTGTTCAAAATGTTCACTTAGCATGTTATACTCTTGTAGTTAGTTGACAGACGTCATAAAGATTTATAAACTGGAATTGATACTCACTGTCAATTAGGTTAACACTAAGATATTCAAGCTGAAAATAGTTACTTATGAGTGAGTGATGTGGATCTAAACAATCCATCGAGTCTATAATTTATGAACGTACCAATCACGCATAAGACAACAGATCTTGTATTTTTGGCGTGAAATTCACTCATCTATTTGGTTAAATAGAGTTTTAGCATTATAGCTGATATCAATTCATGATGAAAACCCTATATCAAACTTATAACCTTAATCATCAACTGTAAATCATAATTGTAATTTCTCATACTGGTTTATAACCCTTATTTGGTTCTAGTTATTAGGTGGATACTCTCAAGATCACCTTAGAGTCGCTCAAAGGTTGTCGTTGGGGAAAATAAAGTACTTATTCATAATAAATCATATATTTATTAGTTAATAAAATTAACAAACAAGTGCCTATTTTGTTATTTTCCACTTTCCTCCCCCCCCCTTAGACGAAGTTCAACACTCTGTGAATAGAGATGTAAACTCTAAACAAATTTGTCACAATGATTATCATGTTGAAAATAGATGTGAATTACATAATACTAATGTCATAATGAATGATAATAGATTAAATAAAGAAATAAAAGATACAGAATGTGATAGAATTGAACATAATCCACTTGATCATCAACAACAAACTAGTCATTCAATGACATGTTTATTAATTTATCCATCTAACAAATCAAATCAATGTCGTCTCTTATTCAATAATAATAATCATAATAATACATTACATTATACTAATTCATGTCTTCCATCACCTATTCATTGCCAATACAATCAAAATCATTTATCAAAGTTTAAGATTGATTCATGTGTAAAATCAAAACATATCAACTTACCACAACGTATAAGTAAATCAACATTGAATATTGCTACTAATCATCAAATGAAATTATCAACAGAACAATTAACATTGAATGAATATGATAAAATGAATCAAGTAAATGATAAAAATCATTCGCTTTTCAATAATTGTACATATAGAAATGTATTTTTACCAACTTGTTATCATAATGATTGTTTAAAACAAAAATATGGTTATTGTACAGTATATCATAGTTTAAAGAATCAAGATTATAAAGATGGTTGGGTTTAAGCTCTACTTTTCTTGTTTATATTGATGAAGGTGTGGCGATACTTTTTAATTGAAACTATAGAGGAGAATTGAGTTTATACTTTGTATGAGGTTTTAAACGACTTGGATTAGATGCTTCGACAGAGATGCCACCAGGTGCTGTATTCCAGACAAATCTTGTATAGGCTAACTGTGAAGTGTACTGTTAACTGAAAATGTTTTGATAGTTAGGCTCGTAGCTTGTGTTGTAGCTGCTTGCATTACTGTGAAATTGTGAAGGACCTTCTGTATAATATCGGAAGTCGTAATGACAGTCTTTGTAACCTGGCGTAAAGAAAAAAGGTAAAAGATTACTTGATTTTAAGTACCAATACAGACAGCAAAACCACGCCCTATCGAGACTTGCATTGTTATTTTCGTAGTGTGAAGCAAAAAGTGTAAGAAATGTTACCACCCGGCCACAGCAGGTAGACAAAATCAGACTCACACGTCCGGTCGTGCCTCCTGGATAGTGAGACGAATGTCTCATGAACCAACGTGAGCGATAACCCGGATGGTGGAGATCGGGCTAATCACCCACTCAACCTATACCCATAACCTGATTACGAAAACTACAGAGAATCATTGCACAATTATTAATGGTCCAAAAAGAGACAAAATAATCACAAAAACTAAAACTTGGTTTATGGAATGTCCGGGGTTGCTCTCAAGAGGGTAAGCTCCAACTGATTGCAGAACAAGTTATCGAACGTAAGTACCACATAGCAGTGATTACTGAAACGAGAATGGTCTCCAAAACTATCAAAATAAACAAAAACACCACTTTCCTCAACTCTAATCCTGATATAAATGACTACCGGAACACCGGTGTCGGGTTCATCATTAATAACCAGTCAATGGTTTCTGCCACCAACTTTAAGGAGATAGATGGTAGAATAGCTACCATTAAAATACATAGCAAAATCACTAACCAGACTATCAACCTCATTGGTTGTTATGCCCCAACTGAGTCTTCTAATGATAACATCAGCAAAGAAAACTTCCATCTTAAACTGAACAGCACAATTAAGAAACTTAAACTAAATAAACTTCCCATAATCATACTAGGTGACTTCAACTGTAGGCTAGGCCTGGACCTTCAAGCTTACTACCTTAGTATCGTAGGGAAAGCTATCAAGCTTGAATCAGAGACATCAAAAAATGGCATGAGACTAATAAACCTATGCGAAACATCAAGTCTGCGAGTAATGAATACCTTCATTACTAAACCAGCTCATAAGACTTCCACCTGGGTACACTCAAAGACCCAAACGGAACATATGATAGACCTAGTGTTAATAGAAAATAACTCTAAGTTAATGGTCTGTGACATACACAAAAGTCAATCTATGGAGGCTAACTCTGATCACTACATGATCACAGGCATACTTAAGCTAAAGTACTTAAATAATAAACAGACCCCAAACACAAATAAGAGACCCGGACGAAGACAACGTAAGGCGATACACGCCTTGACATCGGATTATCCAAATATATTAGATAACTTACTTCAAAATGAATATAGTCTAAGTCAGATAGAAGGAGCAATCATACAGACAGCTAACAAAGCTGCAATCCCACATAAGTCGGCCACTAAAAGATGACAACACAGCATAAGTGATCTCTTAAAACAAGAGATAAAGCATAGAACACTACTAAGATTAGGCTGGTTAGACAACCCTACGACCTTTAATAAAAACCTCTATACTCAAATATAGTATGCAAAAACCATTGCATATCTGGGCAGCATCATTAATGAACACGGTGAATCTGATGCAGATGTGAAGGCACTGATCGGCAATGCAAGAGAAACATACCTACAACTGAAGAACATCTGGAACTCAAAACAATTGTCAACCAATACCAAGGTAAAAAGTTTCGTCACAAATACCAAAATAGTTCTACTGTATGTGGCGGAAACTTGTAGAACTACGAAACCCATCATCCAGAAGATACAAGTGTTTAGTAACAGTTGTCTATGCAAAATATTTCGGATTTGTTGGCCAGATACTATCAGCAACAACCTACTATGGGCGAGAACAAACCAGATCCCAACAAGGAAGAAATCAGGAAAAGGCGCTGGAAGTGGATAGGACACATATTGAGTAAAACACCCAAATGAGTCACAAAGCAAGTCCTGAAGGCCAATCCATACCCTGGCTGTACTAAAAGTTTCTCAACTAAGAAAGGTATAACCAATCACTGCTATGTAGTACATAGATGGTCAGCAATCGCCGGAAAGGAAGTAAAACAAAAGACAAAACAACCTGCAAAAATAACTATTAAGCCCCGGTAGTTGTGCCGTGCTTCGATGTAGCCTCTTCTCCAGAAGGGCCTACTAGGCTTCACCAACTTATTTGGCTGGAAGGGGCACCACAGGGTCCGACAATAGTTGTTTTCGGGAGGTAAAATCCGACTCACACGTCCGCGCCGTGCCTCCTGGATAACGGGGCTTATTCCCATTAACTAACGTGAGCGGTAACCCGGGTGGTGGAGATCGGGCTAATCACCCACTCTACCTATACCCATCCACTGATTAAAAATCCTACAATGAAACAATGTATCTGTACCTTTGGTTAAAAAAACAAAAAAATCCCAGAAACTTCCAAGAACTAAAACTTGGCTTATGGAACGTCCGTGGTTGCTCACAGGAAAGTTAATTACATCAAATTGCTAGTCAAATAACTGAACGTCAGTGCCATCTAGCAGTGATTACTGAAACCAGAATGCCAAGCAAGATATTAGAAATGGACGAAAACACAACTCCGTTTAACTGCAACCCAGATATAAACAATCACAAAAACACTGGTGTCGCCTTCATCATCAATAAACACACAAACATCACAACATCTCACTTCAATGAAATAAAAGGCAGAATCGCAACAATAATGATCCACTTCAAATCAATGAATTAATCCTTCAACTTTATTGGATGCTATTCCCCCACAGAAACCTCAGATGATGACAATCAAAAAGATAATTTCTACATCTCACTAAAACGAACAATCATGAATATTAAACAAAACAGACTACCAATAGTACTAATGGGTGACTTCAACTGCAGATTAAGCCAAGAATTACACACAATGTATCCTCACATCATTGGCAAAGCAATCAAACTAGAAGACACCTCACCAAATGGTATCAGATTAATCAACCTTTCCCAATCAACGAAACTAAAAATTATGAACACCTTCATACAAAAACCGCAAAGCAAATCCATCACATGGATGCACCCGAACACAAATGATACTCATACCATCGATCTAATTCTACTAGATAACAAACCCAATCAAAATATCACAATATGCGACATACATAACTCCCGATCAATGGACGCCAACTCAGATCACTTCATGCTCACCACAATAATTAAACTCCAACACAAAAAGAGAAACAAGAAACACAAACACAAGCATACACACACGAAACGCATACAAAATAACACACGAAATGCTATTCAATCCATGTCCTCTGATTACCCTACAATATTAACAAATCTAATAAATGAAGCAAATGATTTGGCACAAATAGAAAAAGCCATTATGCATGCTGCACCAATATCTGCAAACCCCCGAAAATCAGCAACTAAAAGATGGCAAACACAGATCAGTGAGGACCTAAAGGAAAGCAACTAAGACTTCAATGGTTAAACAATCCAACTGTAGAAAACAAAAACAAATATAATCAAGCAAACAAACTAGTAAAACTTAAAATAAAATCAGCCAAAGAAGACTACATTCAAAACGAAACTAAGGAAATGAATGCCTTCTTCGAACAAAATGATCTACACTCAGCGTATAAAATGCTTGACGACATATTAGCCACAATAAGAAATCAAACATATAAACAGCGAAGAAACCAAATAAAAAGCAAAACACTTCAACAACATTGCCAAAATCTGTTTCAATCAACAACAACAACACTAAACCTAGAATCCTCGAACATGAATCAATTCAATGAACCTCCTCTAACAAAACCTGAACTTGAAATAGTCATCAAGAACCTAAAAAATAACGAAAACCCCGGTAACAATGGCATAACCAATGAGATGATCAAACATGGTGGGGAGAAACTACAAAACATCCTATTAAACATCATGAACAAATTCTGGACAAATCCAAACGAAATCCCAAATCACTGGTTAAACGCTAATGTAATAAGCATATACAAAAACAAAGGTTTGAAATCAAATCCAAATAACTACAGAAGCATCTTCCTACTCGACACACTGAGCAAAATATTCTCCGGAATGATCTGCAACAGACTAGTACAACAAACAGATAATCAAATTCCGCCAACACAATTTGGCTTCAGAAAACATTTAACTACCAGTCATGCAATTACTACAATCAGACATGTAATCCAATGTGCTCTTGATTCAAAGAAAACACTGATCATCATCTTTGTAGACCGAACGAAAGCCTTCGATACCTTGTAGATTCAAGTTTTACTTTCGTTGGATGCTTGTGCCAGTTTGTCGGTAGTTTGTCTTTCATTTCATTAATGTCTTGAGTTAATTGTCTGATCCAGCTTTTTGTGTGTGCATTACGGTGTTTTGATGGGTTTTCTATGTGTCTTGTTAATGTTTTGGTCATTATGTTATTTGATCTTTTATTTGCCGTATACCAACATGACGTGTAATCCTAAACATCAAAGACAGAAAGGAATTTAACATAGAACAACTACACACAAAAATACAACTCCCTAACATTGCGACGAAAATAATGCAGAACCGACTTAACCTATGGTGTTTATTGATGATGAAGGCGACACCAGTGTTTTTGTGATTGTTTATATCTGGGTTGCAGTTAAACGGAGTTGTGTTTTCGTCCATTTCTAATATCTTGCTTGGCATTCTGGTTTCAGTAATCACTGCTAGATGGCACTGACGTTCAGTTATTTGACTAGCAATTTGATGTAATTAACTTTCCTGTGAGCAACCACGGACGTTCCATAAGCCAAGTTTTA